GGGGGGGGGGGGGGGGGCGTAGCTTACCCGGAGAAGACGCTGCTGGAACGTCGTGTCCCACTCCCGACCTGCGGCGTCGGTGCACACGTCCACTGCGCGAGCCAGGTCTGGCCGGATGGAGCGAATCGCCTCGTCCGCCTTTGGCGACTTGCGCTCAAAGTAGTCCAGCGCGTCGTACAGAACTGCCGCGGGGTGGTCGCTGCCTGGCTGGAATACAGCCAGGGAGGCATCTGATGTCAGCTGAAACCAAACTCCGCCCAGCTTACCTGGCACCTTTTGGAGAATCTCGCATGTGCTGGACGAGATGATGCGGAGTGCATCCACCTCGCCAACAATGACAGCTGACGGCGGGTAGGTGTACTCGAGCGCGTCGCCTCCGGGGCCAACCATGACGACCTTCGGGCCCCAGTTCAGCACCACGGCATTGTCGCCGCACCACTCTGCGCGATCCGGCAATGTCGCGCCCTCGGGCGCATACCCCGTCACATCGACTTCGGAGAGGTTGCGCGAGAAGTCTGAGCTGACGACCCACAACGCTCCCGTCGCCATGACAAGGGCATAGAAGCGTCCATTCGGCGAGAGGCTGATGTGCGAGAACGGGCCGCGGGACAACTGCTGATCCGTCCGCTCCAGCGAGTCGAGCGTCACCGCCGTTTCCCCCGTCGCGAAGAGGACCTCGACGTGCCCACTGTGGCTGTGGTCGGGCGGCACTATCTCCCACGTATGCGGCGGTTCGGTCAGCCCCGAGTCGGCGAAGTTGGTGATGCGCGCTCCCTTCCAGCCCCGAGACTCGACGAACTGCAGGTTCCCCGTCAGAGCGACGATGCCGTCCTCCCACGCCTTGGCGGAGACGATCCCGAGATCGGCGACGTCCGTTCCCAGCGTGTGCTGCGTGTAGTCGCCCGAGCTCAGGTCGTACAGCCGGTACGTTCCCTCGTCGGATACGACAACAAGATGTGTCGATGTGAAGTGCATCAGAATCGGTGTCGGCAAGTCCCACTGTCGTCAGCTTGAATCGAATGTTCAGCTTACGTTCAGCATGGCGATCGGCTCGCCCGACGAAGTGTACACCTGTATCTTGGGCTTCCCTGGCGTATGTCTTCCGGCTAGCAGCACCTTCCGTTCGTCGCGCAGCAGGGCTGTCGTCAGCTTCCAGCAATATCATTCAGCCTACCTATCGGTCCTCCATTCTTCCCCACGGCGACCACGAAATCGGACAGGTCCGGGACCTTCCAACTCATCTGGTACACCTCATCTTTCCGGTAGAACACATCCTCGAGGGTATCCCAGCTGTTACTGTCAGCTTACACTCATCATATGAGCTCACGTTGCAATGGGAGATAATGACAGCGCCATGGCGCGCGATGGTGGTTAAGAGTAATGTTGCACTGCTAGATCGGTGCGGCCAGGGATGGACCGATTGGGACGAGCGTCATCGATGCGTGACGGGCTCCTGATAAGATGCTTCCGCAATCGGTACCTCGGCCCAGCACGCGCCCAGCGTCACTTGGGTGGCGACAGTGACTGTGCTAGCCTGAAGCATCAACACCCCACCCCCGCATTCTCTTCTCTTCAAGTCTCTCACTCTTCATTGCATAGGATATCACTGGCTCAACAGTTCCTCGGACGGCACAAGCGCCCAGAATCCGCTGGCTAGATTCATCAAGCGGGGCTGTAGCAATTACATCATCATCACGACCTCTCACGACCCACCTCATTGAACGCCCATGAACGCCTGATTGCTGGCCGCACACAGACTCGACCACGATGTGGTTTCCATCGTTTCTGTCGCTTCCCATTAGCTTCCCCAGCTTCCCGTCGATATCGCTACCTGCGAACATCCAGCGACGATTCCTCAGCTATGTCTTGAAGCGCGCCTTCGGCCGGTTCATCGTAGCCTCTGGACTCGACGTCGATCGAATTCAGGCCCAGATCAGCCAAGGGCTCGTCGAGCTCGAAAGGCTCGAGGTTGATGCAGAAGTAAGCTGGTTTCATTCGACTCCTAGCTGACATGCAGGAGGTGAACACACTCATTCCGGACACGCTTCCTTTCGTTGTCAGTGCCGGAGAGGTGGCGAGGGTGACCGCTCGTGTGCCCTTCCCCAATCTGTGGTCTGATCCGCTTTCCCTCACGGTGGACTCGCTCACCCTCGATGTTTCAATCATCCCGCAAGACAAAGCGAAGCAGTTTCACCGGTCAGAGTCTCAGCATCGCGACCTCGCCAGCTCTGTGACCTCTGCCGCCGATGACTTTGTGCACAGCGAGCTCGACGCATTCGAGGGTGCCGAGCTCGACCGGTCTATCCGCGAGTCATTGGTGCTGAATCAGACAGACCCATTCGCAGATGATGTTCCCGGAGGCTTCCCGAGCCCGACGAACACCATGCCCGGTGGCGGGGCGCCTATCGATTCGCCCTTAACCCCGGGCGTGGAGAGCACGACTGTGCTCGCAACGCTGGTGGAGAGGATTCTGGCTCGGCTGCAGTGTAAGGTGAAGAATATTCGGGTCCGTGTTCACTTCCCCGATCAGAAGTACGGCGGAATACTCGAGCTTCGCGTCGGTGAGGTGCGATACTGTGATGAGACACCAGAGGACCCTGCGGCGCCACGGCAGACGATGCGGGTTGTCACGGTTTCTGGCGTCGACGTTCACGCGCTGCCGTTGTCCTCTGCGGAAGCACGAGTTTCACCACCGCATGCTGTCCCGCCAAAGCCGTCGGTTTACCGCACCATGTCAACGTCCTCGGAGGCGACATCAGCCACGACGTCCTCGTATGAGTCGGAAGACTCGAGCAACGACGAGTTCCACGATATGGTCATGTCCCAGGCTGTGGCGGATCTGCGCCAGAGTGTGGTGATTCAAGATCCACCAGAAGCGGGAGGTGGAAAGACGGCGGGAGGCTCTTACCTGAGCGCGAGCACGATGTCGAGTGCTACGGGCCGGAGCACCTACCACAGCATGGTCGAGGACCCCGAGAACGACCCCTTTGCTTCCGAGCCTACGGAGAAGGAGTCAAGCATCCCTTCCATCCCCTCGTCTCCACGCAAGTCGCCCTCGCCGAGGAAGGCTACGCCGCCGCCTCGACCGCCGACACCACCACGAAGGATGCCGACACCACCACCTCGTCGTGCGCCCTCCCTCTCTTCCTCCGTGCACTCGGAGGCCACGAGTAGGACAGAAGCGACCAGCCGGACGGCGACTCCGACACCTGGACCTGAGTTCCCGGAGATCAAGATCCTGAGTTTTGGTTCGGAAGACATTGTCGTTCGTATGACAACAACCTACCCTGCAGTCACCGTACCTCCTGGCACTGCCCCGGAAGGAATGGAGCCATCGCTACCCGCTCCTCAATCTGCCGCCGAGCCAGCCCCATCACTGCCCGCCTTCGAACTTGACGTGTCAATGGGCACACTAACAGCTGTGCTGTTGCCCAGGCAGATGTCGTTCCTCCTGGCGCTCACTCAGGCGGTCATTCCTTCGCAGCAGTCGTCGGCGCAACCGGAGGCTTCTGCAGAGGGCCCAATGGCTCAGCCGCGGTCTGACATCCAGGTGCATCTGAAGGCTCTGTACGCGGCATTAGTGTACGATGTTAGCCCCTTGACGGCGGAAGCGGAAGCCTCCATCGCCCAATTTTACCAGCGACCAGCAGCGAACTTTGTCCAGCTCGGACATCTCCGACTACGATTCGAAGACGTCGCAGCGCTGTACGCAGTCGCCGAGCAGAAACCGGCCCCACCACGGAAACGCAACGAGCCTCGACGCAAGTCGCCTTCACCGCAACCGCCGCAATTCACCTTGACCGTGGCCGATGCCTCGTTGTTCGAGTTCCTCTCGTCGGCTGAGTCTGGAGAAGATGAGCCGCCAGGAGGCATCTTCCCCGTCTTGATCTTCGATGCCAACCTACCGAAGCAATACGAGGTTCCGCCAGGCGCTCCGTCCAGTCTGCTATCGACGCACTCCCGATCACCTGCCAACCAGAACGCATTCCCCGAGTTCGACTCTGTCGACTGGCGCAACGCCGGTGTGCAAAAGAAGAGCGGAGAGAAGGCGTGGCGTGTCCGGCCGCGAGGGAAGGGTATTCTAAGAGGAGCGCCGACCACCCCAGAGCCCGCCGGTGCGCAGGCAATTGTCATCAAGAAGGAGCTCAGGCCGGGCGCTCCAGCGCATGTTGAGCTCCTCCCCGTTCACTGCTTCCTCGACCTCTCTCTCGTGGAGCGTCTCCTCCCTGTACTTCGATCCTTAGCGCCGTGCATCCGATCCAGCGGCGACTCCGATAGAGCATCGTCCCCAAACACGACTCACCGGCCCGAACTGCCGCAGTTCAAGCACTATCACCAGCCCATGCTTCCAGGGATTGGACGTCCTAGCTCTCGACCAGTACAGCGGCCGAACTCGCTCATGAAGTTGACTTGCCCCATGATCCGTCTCGACATCCGATGTCCTGCGCCCGTCAATCGTCGAGGTTCATGGGGAGACGGTGCTCATCTCCGTTCAGGTATCGTCACACTGGACATTCATGGGCTATCCGTGAACATTGCCGAGGACCCACCCGCAACGATGCCTCAGGCCCGCCGTCCCAGCCAAGGCTCGTTCGAACCTGACCCTCTCGGTGGCACGCAGGTCGAGTGGCAGACCATGTTGTTCCTGTTCAGCAGGGCGCCGGAGAAGCGCACTTCGGCGTTCCTCGTCATTGGGCCACTGGCGCCGGAACCGGGAGAAGATGACGGCCTGCTTCTCCCGAAGGTGCACATTCACTCCGAGCTGTCGCCGGTGACGGGCCTCAGGACAAAGAGTGTCACCTGCAAGACCCCCTCCGTGCAGGCTAAGATTCGTCAGCCTACAGTCGAAGGCTTGCAGTTCTTCGCTGATGACATGACCCACTGGCTCGATGGAGCTTTCGGCGATGGCTCGGCGCCGAAACCTCGTGACGATCTCAAGATGATCGGGAGTCGCTTCTTCGGCTCTAAGGCGTCCAGCTCGACGAGCAGCTCCATAGCTGACGAGGAAGAGGATGATCCCGCGGCAACCCTACTCCGCGTGCTCATCAGCGAGGCTGAGGTCACACTCGTTGTCCCCAGGTCACTAGCTCCGCCGCCGTCGACGCCTCCGTCTGCCTCGGAGGACTCGAACCGCATTCTTTCCCTGAGAGCTTCGGATCTCGATGTCAAGCTCGAGTCAAACCTGACTCATAAGCAGGAGACGGCGATCACAGTCACCACTATGGACGCAGACTTGTTCCACCATGCTTCGCCGGAGGCCGAAGCGGCCCGCATCTTCGGCCGCACGACACCGCTCACGCTCACAACCCACACTCAGCCAATCATCACGCTGCGGTTCTCGACTCTCACGCATCAAGACCGCACGAAGGAGACGGGAATTCGTCTTATCACTTCGGCCTGCACCGTATTTGTGACTAAGGATCTCGAATGGGTGCAGGATTTAGCGAGATATGCCAAGACACCAGAAGGCGTTTTCGAGGACGTTGTGCCGAGTGAGGTGACCAAGATCCAGCTGGCTATCAATGACTGCTCGATCCACATCGCGACGCCTACTCTTCCCGGAGCGGTCCTCCTGATCGCCAACGTCCTCGATGTGAGAACTGTGTTGGAGAGCGAGGGCATGGAAACGAACGTGGACGTCGGCTTGTCTGGCGGGCATCTGCTGGCGATTGACGATCTCGAGGCTGCAACGCCACTGCAGATGGGCCACCAGCTGTCACTCGAAGCCTGGAAGCGGGCCGGCTATGCGCAGCTAGTCGAGCTCGTCACGTTTGATACCAAGATCACCCGCTCTCTGGTCCCTAATGAGACAGTTCTCATCGACATCCTCCAGTCCATGGTGCGAGTCACTGCCTGTGCGGACTCGCTGGCCACGATCGGTGCTCTGGCTGGCGACCTGTCCAAGCTGGGTCCGAAGAAGGCTGAGCTGGAAGAGTCTTCTCCGAAACATCACCCAGTCGCCCTGGATCAGACAATTGATGTCTTTGGCTCTGTTGACATGCAGGCCTTCACTAAGGCACCAGATATCATCTCCGGCGCCGACATGATTGAGGACGATCTGCCTACGGACCTCGACTACCTCGACCATGCGGCACGGCAGTCGAAGAAGTCGCCGCACGTTGACCACCATACGGGCGAGTCGCTGAGGTCATGGGAGTCAACCGATGAGGACCACCATATCGCAGAACACAATGGCGGAACTATTAAGATCTTGATGAAGGAGCCGTTCAAGGAGGATCCCAACTATTGGAACAACCTCCCCGTGGTGCTCAACAGCGAGGAGACTCGGCTCGGCAAGACTCGCATTCGTATGCAGAACACGTCCGTCACGGTCTATTTGCATGACGGCTATGACTGGGTCAAGACGCGCAAGGCGATCGAGGACGAGATGAAGGCGGTTCGCAAGAAGCTGGAGAAGATCAAGCAGCTCCTTGCGTCCGGCCAGAAGCCTGACGCCTCGATCGACCAAGCGAGCTCTGTGCTCTTCAATTCGGTCTACATCGGTCTTGACCAGAACCGCGATGACTTGGACTCAACGCAGCTGCTTGCTGCAATCGACGAGGAGCTCGAAGATCTTGGCGGAGAGAACTGGAGCGAAAGCTCGTGGCAGACGTTCCCAGAGGCTGCGGGGTTGCCATCCCCTCAGTCTCCACAGACAGCCAAGCGCCGTGTAAGGCTGCACGGCAAGCGTCTTACGCGCTCGAAGCGCCCGCAGATAGAGTTCTCACTGCGCGGCCTCCGTGCTGATGTCGACATGTATGGCAAGGACGACGCGACGTCGTCCCGGCTCCACCTGACAGCCCAGTCCTTCGACATACTCGATCACATCAAGACATCAACCTGGAAGAAGTTCCTGACGGAGATGAAGTCTGACTCGCGAGGTAATGTGCGCGAGACGGATGCGGACATGGTCCGGGTCGAAGTCATCACCGTCCGGCCACACTTGCCGTCCCCCGATGAGGAGATCAGGGTTAGGGTGAGTTGTTCACGCTCGTGCAGTAACTGACATTCAGGCTAAGGTTCTCCCTCTGCGGCTGCACGTTGACCAGGACGCGCTTGACTTCCTGAAGCACTTCTTCAGCTTCACTGTGCCTGGCGCCGAGGCGGCGGTGGAGACGGCGCCGAAGACTGAGCCTTACTTCCGTGCGTAGGCTGTGGTATGTTCCGCCGTTTAGCTGACATCAGAACGCGTCGAGATCTTCCCTGTCGAGCTCAAGCTCGACTACAAGCCTAAGCGTGTCGACTACGGCGCTCTGAGGCAGGGCCGCACTATCGAGCTCATGAACTTCTTCCACTTCGAGGGCGCCGAGATGACGCTGCGGCACGTGACGCTGTCAGGAGTGAGTATTAGCTATACCTTTTTTTGCAACCTGAAGCTGACATCCAGATCACTGGCTCGTCCAAGCTCTCGACGATGCTGCAGGACATCTGGACGCCGGACGTGAAGGCGAACCAGCTCGCGGATGTCATCAGCGGTGTGTCGCCCATCCGCTCTATGGTGAACGTCGGCAGCGGCGTTGCGGACCTGATCCTCCTCCCGATCGAGCAGTACAGGAAGGACGGCCGCGTCGCGCGCGGACTGCAACAGGGCGGCAAGTCCTTCGTGCGCTCGACGGGACTGGAGATGATGAAGCTGGGCGCGCGCCTTGCAACCGGAACCCAAGTCGTGCTCGAGCGCGCCGAGGGAGCGCTAGGAAACAAGGTAGCGGACAGTGTCGTCGTGATCGACGAGCAGGACTCGGACGAGGAGCACTTGCAGTCACGGTACCGCGCCCAGCCCTCCGATGTGCGCGAGGGCGTCAAGGCGGCGTATCGCTCCCTCGCGAACAACATGAACAGCGCGGCGCAGACCATCCTCGCGGTCCCGATGGAGGTGTACGAACGCAGTAGCGGGGAGGACCAGGAGGGCGGCGCACTCAAGGCCGTCGTGAGGGCGGTGCCTGTGGCCGTGATCAAGCCCATGATCGGTGCCAGCGAGGCGGTCAGCAAGACGCTGATGGGCATGCGCAACACGCTGGATCCGGAAGGAAGGGCGGAGCAGGAGGACAAGTACAAGTAGTCTCGACGCCGCGACGCCGAGCGCAGCGAAGCGGCGAGCGAGGGTGGGCGGAAGGGTGTGGATGCCTCGACCGTTGACATGCAGGAGAGGAGGGTCGAGAGCGTAGACAGGAAGCGCAGCCGTTTGTATATCGCGCCCTTATGTTATTGTACGCTTTGCACATGTCAGCGAGCCAAGAGCCAAGGAACAGTGGCTGACAACGTGCTGCCCACCGTCTCATCTGGTATTCTTGTCTGCGCAGCGTGCGCAACCCAGACCCAGACCGCAGCACATGCAATACAGGCGCCACAAGCCACAAGCGGATTGCCCTGCACCAATCTCGGACTGGCTTGGCTGGACTCGCGTATAAGTCCAACTAGCCGCGATGAACGAGATGGCTGTGTGGCTTGTAACCTGGAGAGATGTGTGGTTGGGTGATACGGAGGTGGGAGGTGGGGAGGAAGGCACGATCTTGGGCGGTCAATACAGCGGTATAGCGGCGGAGTCCCGCGGGGCGTGAGACTGAATGAGCCCGACTGTCATTGGAAGGAGGATAGAGGAGCCTGGCCAGTCTGGACGGGGAGGAAAGGAGGCCAGGGAGCGGGCGTGTTGCCCCAAAAGCTCCTCTGTGGGCGGACACCGGGGCAATGTGGGCAGAGCTAGCAGAGAACGCAGAGAACGCAGAGACGAGACGAAGGGTGAGTGCTGGAACCCCCATTCAATCCCAGTCCGACCGAGTCCGATGGCCTCCTGGCCCTGGTGGCCTGTGGACATCTCAGATCCGAGATGAGAGAGCGATGGTCCGTGCGCATCATTGGTATGTGGGCTGGCTATACCCTGATATCCCAGATCAGTGGCGAGCAAGTGTGGGCATCGCAACTGCTCAACTGCTGCGATCCATTACTCCCCACCTGATCAGCACTGCGAGTATCTACAGCATCACGAATGACTGCTCGATCATCTTCAGATTGTACAGATGTGCAGATCGGCGAGGAAACCGTAATTGTTGATCATTGACAGAGTGCCAAGCCCCATCCGCAGTGCTACGCACGCAGCAATCATCAGCCATCCTGAAACAGCGATTAACCAAGCTTCGCACGATCGTCCCCTTCCACCTCTTGCTGCGTGTAATCTGTAACTCTCGATGATCATCTGGAATTACTCTGCAGGAACCATCCTCTCTTGCGTCACTCGACTTGGCAGCTTTCGGAAGAACGGGGGCGGTGCATTGTCAGGGACAGAGGAGATGGACACGTGAGGTTGATAAACTGAAGAGGGCAGCTGATGTCTCTAGTATGTCTCTGGACCATGGACTTTCTGGCATGTGATGAGCTCGGTTTTCTCATAAACCTCGGATCCCTCAGAGTAGAGCGTCCACCTAGCTCCTAGTCCCTCAGCCATCTGTACTGGGCCGCGGCTCGGCGACCGAAGCAGCGATGCAGGGCTGTTCCGGCCAGATCACTGCTTGTACTTGACTGCTTGAACTTGAGAAACAGAGAACCGAATAGGACTCGAGGCAATAGCAGATCAGCAGATCTGGTCTCGACGCCACCGACGGCACAGCGGCATCATCAGTACTAAGAAATCAAAATGACCGTAGTCTTGTCTTATGTGCATGTTAGCCTGAGCGTAGCGCACTAGCACAAGCGATGAGACTACGGACCAGCGCACAGACTGCTCGGTACGGAGCCGCTGAGGAACAGACACATGTCATGTCCTATGTTTCTCGCCTCCGTCATTGCCCCGAGCGATGGACGGAGTACGCATGTGCGCACGAGCCATGCGGCGAAGCAACGACACAAGAGGGGCTCGGAACTGCGGTTCCTCGTCTGCATACCTCGCATACATAGCAGTGGAGAAGGGGCGGCGACCCTGCGTCACCATTCAGCGCCGCTCCGTCACTGTCCCCCGTACACTGGTCCGCCACTCGTTGCGGCTCACGCTGCACGCGTCGCTCACGCTCACGCGTGCAGGCTAATGAGGTCATTACCAATCAGTAGTGACAGAGCGATTTGACCTGTGATTGAAAGGGTTGTGCCACATTCCATAACGCCGTTGTGAGGCAGGGACAGATGCGCGCGCTGATTGGCTGGGATGGGTGATGGGCCGGAAGCCCTTCCCCTGCCCCCTTGCCCTGGGATGCTGGGCGGATTGGGGGAAGAGCGAGAGAGCTAGCGGCGGCGGAGGAGGAGCACCGCTGGGATGAGAGGCGAGCGCGTCACACGCTGGGGGAGAGAGGAGAGGAGAGGAGAGGGGGAGAGGGGGTCGAGGGGAACCCAGGTACCGAATGGATGGCCTGGAAGGGAAGGACGAGCAGGCAGCCTATGGGCCAGTCGAGAATGAAAGACTCGAGGTCACCTGAGCACACTCTCTGGTCCTGGCCCCTTGCCCGTCGCGCCTGGAGAGCATATGCTCATTACAGTCGGATCCTTATGGACATTATGGACTGTATAGGGGCAGCTAATAGACCGACCTGGGCCAACTGACCCGCGATGCACGCCGTTCCCTGGCCCTGGACTGGGTCTGCCTCCACCTCGATTCACTCTGCCCAGCCAGGCCAGCCAGCCAGCCAACCCAGCCAGCCAGCCTAGCACTGCCAGCCAGCGCCCAGCCAATACCAACCGCGAGTCTGCCCTCATTCACCCAACTGCGAAGGTGCACGCTCTGACTCGCGGCCTCACTCATCCACACCCTGGGCCCTTACCACACACTCTACCATCCAACCCAACCACCACCACCACCACCACCAACCACCACCCGCTAACCACCTTCCACTCCATCTCTCTCCAGGTTACGTGACTAGCTCCCCCTACCTACACCTTTACGCAACAGCACACAGCGCTCGCCTTTCCGACCGCTCGACGCTTCCCCCCCAACCGCCTGATCTCTGTCATCCACCCAACGCCAGAACTCACACCCCACCATCCGCCGTCCAGCCGACCTCTTCCGCTGATTGACGCCATCACCCACTTCCATCCACAACCCCCAACCTCCCACCTTCTCCGCCTTTGATCCAACCACCCTTCGCACGGCATCCGCAGTCGGCGTGAGGGACTATCGCTCAAGGTGCGCACCCTCTCCTCCCCCCCCCCCC